CGGGTTGGTAGGGGAGAATGTTGTCGATTGGAGATGTGGTTCTCGACCATAAAGTAAAAAGAAGGGAGAAAAGCCTGTCGTCGCTTGAGGTGCCGTGTTCTAAGCGTACGTTACGTAGGGAAGGATAAGATACCAGTTGGTGTGGTCGGAGGCTACATACATAGAAAGCATATCGCCAAGAGTACGGTTGAAACGCTCAGTCAAGCCATTTGTTTGTGGGCGATATGTGGTAGTACAGCGGTGAATCTCATGGCATTCTGCAAGAAGTTCTTTAATAACATGCGCGAGAAAGACGTGGCCTCGGTCGCTCAAAAGTTCACGTGGAGCGCCGTGACGCAAAAAAAAACGTTGCAGCAGGAAAGGCGCAACGTCACGTACCGTCGCGGCTGGTAGAGCGGCCGTTTCTGCATATATCGTGAGATGGTCGATCGCTACAATAATCCAGCGATTCCCAGCTAATGTATATGGTAGAGGACCATAAAGGTCTATTCCAACCCGGTTGAATGGTCGCACTAGGCACGGTAACGGCTGCATTGCTGCAGTAGGACGGCTAAGATCATGCTTGCGGCATTGGCACTTTGTGCAAGATCGAATGTACTTTTGAACGAATGTGTACATGCCGCGCCAATAAAACTGAAAACGTACCCTGGCGTAGGTTTTAAAAAAACCGGCGTGCGAACACTGCGGATCGGCATGGAAAGCAGCACATATGCTGGCATGGAGATGCCTGGGTATGGCGAGTAGCCATTTGCGACCGTCTGGGTGGTAGTTGCGGCGATAAAGTATGCCATCACGGACGGCGAAGTGAGAGGCTTGTCGGTGTAGCGCTTGAGATGGCGGGTGGGCAAGTGTTTCAGATAGGTAATTCATCAGAGACGCAATCCACGAATCTTTGCGCTGCTCCGCAGCTATGTTGATGGGTCCTGATAGTGGAAGGAAATTGTCTTGGATGGAGAGACTCGCAATGGAGACAACGCGAAAGAGCGTCGGCATCGGCGTGCTTCTGGCCTGAGCGATAAATGACACGGATGTCGTACTCTTGGAGCCGCAAAGCCCATCGTGCCAAGCGTCCTGAGGGATCTTTGAGGGAGGATAACCAGCAGAGCGCGTAGTGGTCGGTAACAACATCGAAATGGCGGCCGTACAGATAAGGCCGAAATTTTGTAATGGCCCAGATAATCTCTAGACATTCTTTCTCAGTTACCGAATAATTTGCATCTGTTCTTGTAAGAGTGCGGCTCGCGTACGCAACAACATATTCTTGGTAACCACGCTTTCGTTGGGCGAGTGCAGCGCCAAGACCAACACCACTAGCATCTGTGTGGATTTCTGTGGGAGCGCTTAAATTGAAATGACGCAGTATGAGTGGCGTTGTAAGCAGTTCACGGAGCTTCGCAAAGGCACTGTCGCAGGCTGGAGACCACGCAGATAGATTGCGGTCTCCCTGAAGTAGGTCTGTCAGAGGCACCATGATCGAGGCGAAATCCCGGATTTAGCGGCGTAAGTATGAGCAAAGTCCAATGAAACTACGCAGCTGCTTGAGAGACGCGGGCCTCGGGAACTCGCGAACAGCACGTAGCTTAGCGGGGTCTGAAAGAACGCCATCCTTCAACACGACGTGTCCGAGAATGGTCAGCTTGCGCGCACCAAAGTGACACTTCTTCAAGTTGAGTTGGAGGCCTGCTACAGAGAGGCAGCGTAGAACCTGTACCAAGCGACGAAGGTGCGTGGGAAAATCGGGCAAGAATACCACTACATCGTCTAAGTAGCACCAACACGTCTTCCATTTGAGGCCTCGTAGGATAGTGTCCATCATGCGCTCAAATGTTGCCAGCGCATTGCATGGGCCGAATGGCATCACGTTAAATTCGTATAAGCCATCCGGTGTAACAAAGGCGGTTGTTGGCCTATCATCCAGATTCGTGGGCACTTGCCAGTACCCAGAGCGTAGATCAAGAGAGAAAAAGAACTCTGCGCCTTGTAAAGAGTCGAGGGCGTCCTCAATTCGAGGCAAAGGATAAACATCATTTCGTGTTATTTTGTTTAGGCGACGATAATCTACGCAAAAGCGTATCTTGCCATCCTTCTTTTTAACTAAAACAACCGGCGACGCCCAAGGACTGTTTGATAGTTGAACGACGCCTCGCTTTAGCATGTCATCTACTTGTTCATCGATGACACGGCGTTCAGGCGGCGAAACATGGTATGGTCACTGCCGTAGTATTGGGTGATTACCTGTGTTGATCTGGTGGCATACGGTTGATGTTCAACCTAAAGTAGCGCTGTGACTGTCAAAAGATGGCCGAAAATTGTCAAGGAGGATCAAAAGCTCACCCCCCTGTTGTGGGTTTAGGCCTTCGTCGATGACACGGTTGAAAATGTCAATAGTGGAAGGGTCATTCACGGAACTACCGGAGAGGGCGCTGACTTCCGATGATTCATCAGGAACGTCAAGTGTTGCGATGGTTTCGAATGATTCTATCGAACCGACACATTCGCCTCGAAGCAGCGTAATCGTGAATGGGAACGGATTCTCTACAGGCACGTTGGTCGCACCATCTTGAAAAGTAAGGAGAGCGGTTGGGAGTGGTGATAAGTGGCGATGAACGAAAGCAGCGGAAGGCGTGAAGAATGCGGTAGCGTCGATGACGGCGGAACACGACACAGGTGCGAAGACAGTAGCGCGTGGAGGGATCTGGGTGTCGTTACTAATGACCAACTTCGCGTAGGAAGGGCGATCGTGCACTGGTAGCCATCACCAAGGGGACAAACGGTGACTTCGGCACTGGCGCAATGAATGACGGCTTGGTGATGGGAGAGAAAATCCCAACCTAAAATGATGTCATGAGAACAGTGTGGGAGTACTACGAACTGCACTGTGTAGGGCACTCTTTGAACTACAAGTCTGGAATTGCACGCAGCCAGAGGCTGCACAGGCTGTGCAGTGGCAGTATGAAGACATGAACCCAAGTAAGGCGTTGTCACTTTTCGAATTGAACGGCAAACCTTTTCGGCGATGACAGAAATTGCGGCACCAGTATCAATAAGGGCAAGTACGGGTACACCTTCAAGGTCGGCATTAATTACATTCGGCGGTGAACGAAGAGGGCTTGTGCTTTGCGACGAGGACGCAGTTCTTGCCTCGGGAACTGCGTCATTTAGTTTTCCGCGTCGATTGTAGGGAGGCGTCAGCGCATCAGGAGGGCGAGAGTCGACGTGGAGAAAGAGATCGGCGATCAGGAGCTGGTCGGTGGCTTGGTCGAGGAGCGTACAATTTGGGGTCTGGAGTGTAGTGAGTGTACGTGTAATCGTTCTCATATGGACGTGGGTTTTCACGTGAATGGAGTGGGTGATGGTGGCACAAACCTGCGACGTGCCCTAATAGACCACACGAAAAGCAGATCGGTCGGTTGTCGGCAGTGCGCCCTGGATTAGGGACTCGGCGAACTGGAGGTTGTGGCGGCTGTGCGGCATAACAGGAGCAGGCAGTGGAGGCAGCGCTTGGAACGTTTGTGGTCGTGGTCGTGCTGCTGCTTCGGCGTACGTCAATGGTGTATGACTGGTGGCACTAGCTGCGGAGGAAGGACCTCAGACACTTGATCTCGTATAATAGTCCGTAGTGTAGGGCTAAGCGGCGCACTGCGCTCCGGTAGGCCAGAGATGAGCGAGAGTTGGCGGGCAACTTCTTCGAATATAAAATCTTTGATCCTCGAGAGGAGGACGGGGTCATACGAGGGAGTTAAGCCGAACCTCGATTCCTGATGTGGGACAGCACGGCGGGTGACCAGACGTTGCCGGCGGAGCTCATCATAGCTTTGGCAGAGCTCGGTTACTTGGGTGACAGTAGCAGGGCTTTTTGAAAGGAGCATCTGGACGGCGTCCTCGTCAATACCTTTAAAATATGCTTGATGCGGTCCACCTTTGTTATGTTCACATCGACGCGTTTGCACAAGTCAATGACGTCTTCTATGTAACTTGTAAAGTTCTCACCAGGCAGTTGAGATCTCGACTGAAGACGCTGCTCCTCACGAATTTTGCGGACAGAAGGACGACCGAAGACTTCGCTGAAATTTGCCTTGAATGCTGTCCAGGTGAGAACGTTGGTAATATGGTTCCGAAGCCATAAGTGTGCAATGCCACTGAGGTAAATGCCGACAGTGGCCAGTCACGTGGCTTCGTCCCATTTGTTCAAGACACTCACAAGTTCGTAGGTAGCCAGCCAGTCGTCGACGTAATGAACGTCAGCGCCGCTGAATATGGGAGGATCCCGCTGACGGACCGCGCCGGAGCACACGATGGCCTGGGAAGCCATAGAAGGAGGGCTTGTGGCAGATGCAGTGGTCATGACAGCAGGTAGAGTCCGGCTTCGCAACTCCAAGATTGCAAGGAGACCCCGCAAACTCCACGAAATATAATAAAGAACTGAGACAGCCAAAACTGTTATTCGAGACCAGGTAGGAGCGTAGGCCTAGCTAGCGAAATCAGCGACAGTCCGGGCCGAGCGTCTCGTGCTTAGCACTGATTATATATATATATATATATATATATATATATATATATATATATATATATATATATATATATATAATCAGTTTTAGAAGTGTGCACCTGTGCTCATCTCTTGTGTTCGTTGTGTAACATTTTTTTGCGCTGAGCAGTTTGATAAGGACAGGTACATCAAGGATCACGCCGCTAGCTGATGTGTGCATATAGCATAAATCTGCGACGCACTCGCGTGCACTGGTTCACTTTGTGCCATTCTCACCGAGTAGGATGTGCCTCGGTTTCCCTGTTTCTTAACACATATCGCACCTCATCCTCAGCCTCCCCCCTCTTCCCTATCGTCATGGGATTACTTCTTTAAAAAAACTGGTTCCTTCATCTTCTTAGCAGACAAATCGCTAAAGCTAATCATTAAAAAAACATCTTTTCTAGCTACAAATTATCCGTCTGGTCATTTTCAGTTTTAATGATCACGCTGTGTTTTAATTCACAGGAATGGCAAATAAGGGCAAGGCATGCAGGAATGGCAAAGCTGCCTTAGGTTTGGACCGGCCTGTTACCTTTTCTGGTGTCCAGACATCGGCTCATGAAATCGCTCATTTGTAAGTACCTTGAGGAGCTCAAAACACTTGCGACACAGTATACGTATTGTGTGTTGAGATGGTGTTTACGAACGGAAGAAATAATTGGCAACATAGTAGCCTTTAGAATTTGCTCAGTAATTGAATATTAACGTGTCTTCCTTTTAATCCATACTCGTGTTTTTATCGCGGATTAAACAGAATGCGGATGTGTACCGGTATACACTGTACTATACATTTTTCCAGTATTATGGGGGTAGTGAAGAAGAAGCATATATGATATGTAGGAAATGCTGAGGTTTCTGGGCTACGTATCTACGCATAAGAAAAGCAAGAATCTTGATTGAAGGTTTACAAAATATTTCGCACAATCCTCGAAATGTTGATGAATGTAAAATGGAGAGAATAAAGTCAGTGTTAAAGTAGGGATATTAGATCTGGAGCACCCGCAGGGAGCATGTTAGCATCCCACACTTGGTAAATAATTTTTTGATGAATTCGGGAATTGGAGAAAAGCGAGTGTATCTGGGAAGTTAACTAGTAAAATAGTGTAATAAAATGAGAGATATATAACTGTTATTGTTAATATTGTGACGGGGCGAGGTCTTGGCTTACAGGATAGCGTCCACCGAGAATCGGCAGCACCACATTGGGTGGAAGTGCTGGGTAACCGTCTCGCAACGGAACTTCGCAGCAGCCGACGTTTGAAGGGTCATTTCACAACGATGACGGAGAGTACGGCGTCTGCATCTGCTCCTGGCGTTCCTGCGGCCGGAGGTGATGCGGTAACTACATCTCCTTCTGCGACCACAACCTTCGTGCTCGAACCCCCACGGGATCCTGGCACGTTCAGCGGTTCCGGCGATCCAGATGAAGTTGACGTTGAAGATTCGCTGGCAGAGTACGAACGTGTGAGTACTCGATACTGATGGGGCCCGACTCTTATGCTGGCAAACCTGTTATTCTATCCTAGGGGAACCGCCAAATCATGGTATGAGAACCATGAAACAGAACTTGGGAGTTGGGCAGTGTGCAGGGAGAAAATGTTGGACCTGTTCGGAAAGCCGATTGGAAGAAAAATGGCCACGAACAAAATGCTCGTGTTTCGGGCGCAGACCTCGACCGAGTCTTACGTCTCCTATATAGAAGATGTGTTGTCGTTGTGTCGCAAAGCCAATGCCGAGATGCCGGAGGCTGACAAGGTCGGGCATATTCTTAAGGGGATTGCGGATGACGCATTCAACCTCCTCATCTGCAAAAATTTTTCTACAGTAGATGCCATTATAAAAGAATGTCGGCGCTTTGAGCAAGCGAAGAGCCGGCGGATTAACAGCGTGTTTACCCGCCTTCCGAATATGGCTGCAACTACATCTTGCGAAGACCGTGCAAAAACACAGTCACCACCTCTAGATTCATCGGATCAGGTGACCTGAATTGTACGGCGCGAACTTGAAGCCATTGCCTCTGCTCCGGCTCACACCGCTGCAAGTGACACGACCCCTCTCACTGCTAACAAGGTGCAAGCCATCGTCCACCAAGAACTCGCCAGCATAGGTATTCCCTCGGTGTGCGCTTTGCCCAACCCGCAGCGAGCTTCATGGCGTCCACCCGCGTCCTATCACGAGCAGCAGTTTACGGCCCGATCTCGCGACCCTGCTGCGTGGAGAACTGTCGACAATCGACCAATTTGTTTTCATTGCCACCGTATCGGTCATGTCATCCGTTACTGCAATTACCGCTGGTCCTCGCCACCTCGGACTTCATCTTGTAGCGCCCTCGTTCGGGCGGCGCGCAAACCAGAGAGCGCGCGATGGCGACAGAAGAAAATAAAGAAGGCGCTAGGCCGTGGCACGTGAAGCCACGGCTCACGTCCCGGGCTGGCATCGGTTATCGTTCTGGTCGTCGAGCTCTTCCACGCACACGAGATGCTCGGAGTCCCAGCCCTCCACCCCTCTGCTGGTACCACCAGTGTTTCCGACACCGAGCCACGAAGTGTACACCCCCATGTTCGTGGCAGGGAAACGCCTGCCGGGATCACTGACGGCGGCGTGTGATCTCCCTTCTCGTCCCAGCCGCCTTTTCATGGTCACGGACCAGCTATCGGGCGCCAGGTTCCTTATAGATACGGGCGCGGAAATTAGCGTCGTGCCCCCGACTAAGGCTGATCGTTCAAAGTCACAGGGGCAAGTGCTTCGTGCTGCCAACGCCTCGTCTATAGCAACGTATGGGCTCCGATCTCTCACCCTCGAATTCGGCCTTCGCTGCATTTTCCGGTGGGTTTTCGTCATCGCAGACGTGGTTCAACCGATCATCGGCTCGGACTTCCTCTCATACTTCGATTTGGACGTGAGCGTGCGGCGGCGCCGCCTCATAGATGGTAAGACTCGTCTCTCCATCTCGGGAGTCCTGTCCGACATCGCTCCAATGACCATCCGCATGCTGATACCTTCCTCACCGTTCGAAAAAATCTTGGCGAGTTTCCCGGAGTTAACTAAACCGTGCAACCTCACTCAGCCGCCTAAACATACGGTGACACACCACGTCGTCACCCGGGGTCCACCGGCAGCCGCTCGACCACGCCGCCTGTTCGGAGACCGCCTAGCTATTGCTAAACGGGAGTTTGACCACATGCTGCAGCTCGGCATTATCCGCCCGTCGTCAAGCGCTTGGGCTTCCCCGCTGCATTTGGCGCCAAAGCGTGATCCTGGTGACTGGCGTGCCTGTGGGGACTATCGAGCGTTGAACGCCAAGACTGTCCACGACAGCTATCCTCTACCTCACATCCAGGATTTTACATCGCGCCTCGACGGCTGCACAATTTTCAGCAAAGTGGACCTTGTTAAGGCGTACCACCAGACTCCTGTCGAGCCCGCCGACATACCTAAGACCGCCATCACGACGCCCTTTGGGTTGTTTGAATACGTGCGGATGCCTTTTGGACTCCGCAATTCGGCTCAAACTTTCCAGCGGTTCATTTCTGAGGTCACACGGGGTCTTCCTACTGTGTTTGCGTACCTTGACGATGTCCTCATCGCCAGCCGCACACCTGAAGATCATGAGCACCATCTACGCGCTCTGTTCCAACGTCTTCAGCAGTACAGCCTCGTTGTGAACGCCTCTAAGTGTACTTTCGGCGCATCTGAGCTCAAGTTCTTGGGCCATCACATATCATCCAAAGGAATACGCCCTCTCCGGTCCCACGTTAAAGCAATTCAGGATTATCCTCAGCCTACAACACTGTGCCGATTACGCCAATTCCTGGGGCTTGTGAATTTTTCCAGGCGCTTCATACCACACTGTGCCGAACTGCTACGACTGCTCACCGACCTCCTTCGGTCGACCGCCGGCCCGTCCTCCGCCATTCCTTGGTCGTCAGAGGCCCAGGCCGCCTTTGCTGCTGCTAAGCAAGCGGTCGCTAACGCCGTGCTTCTCATTCATCCACGCAGCAACGCCCCTACTCGGTTGATGGTGGACGCATCCAGCGTGGCCGTCGGAGCCGTCTTACAGCAGTGCATTAAATCCGAGTGGAGACCCTTGTCGTTTTACTCTCGGAAGCTACTTCTGCTGAGACCCGCTACAGCGTCTTTGGCTGGGAATTACTAGCCATCTGCGCTGCAATACAGCACTTTCGGCATTTCCTGGAAGGATGCTCGTTTTACGTGCTGACTGACCATAAGCCACTGGCGTATGTTTTCCGCACTAACTCATCCAAGTACGTGCCCCGTGAACTCCGCCATCTGGCTTATATATCGGAGTTCACGCCTGACATCCGCCACGTGAAAGGAGCTGACAACACCGCCGCAGATGCCCTTTCTCGTATAGCCGCGGTTGACTCTCCACCGCCAATAATCGACTGGGTCTCATTCTCCTCGGCACAGCAGAATGATAGAGAGCTTGCCGCTTTTCGGGAGAACCCCCGTTCTCTCCGACTACGCCTGGTGCCTCATTCATTATCATCTGAGCGCTTGTGGTGCGATGTCTCAGCTGACCTTTCCCGCCCTTTCGTTCCCGCTTCATTACGACGCACCGTTTTCCACTCCTTACACGACATCTGTCACCCTGGCATTCGGGCTACTCAACGTCTTCTCACCCAGCGCTATGTCTGGCCCGGAATCAACGGTGATGTGCGCGCTTGAACGCGCATGTGCCTGCCCTGCCAGATGACCAAGGTCTCCCGTCATACTAAGACGCCGCCCCAACCTTTCCTTCCACCCGGCCGTCGTTTCGACCATGTTCATCTAGACATTGTGGACCCTCTACCAGTGTCTCAGGGGTACCGTTATATATTGACCATGGTCAATCGCTTCACACGCTGGCCAGAGGCTGTTCCAATTCAAGATATCACAGCCGAGACAGTTGCCCGCGTTTTCATTTCTACGTGGGTATCCCGTTTTGGCTGTCCTGGCACCGTGACCACAGACCGTGGACGTCAGTTTGAGTCCTCGCTGTTTACTTGCCTTAATCGCATCCTCGGAGCCAGACATTGCCGTACCACGGCTTATCATCCCTGCGCCAACGGCATGGTGGAACGCCTTCACCGACAACTGAAGACCGCCTTGACTACCCGCCTCAATAGAGCCACCTGGGTTGATGCCTTGCCACTGGTGCTCTTAGGTTTACGAGCTGTCATCCGGGCAGACCTGCAGTGCTCAACAGCAGAGCTGGTGTATGGCACTTCTCTACGGCTTCCGGGAGACTTCACGTCAACGAAGCTACCAGACCAGCCACAGCAATTCCTACAACGCCTCCTCGACTGCGTTCAAGACCTCCAGCCCACTCCGCCCAGACCTTCCGAACACAAGACCATATTCGCCCACCCTGATATGGCCACTGCAACACGTGTTTTCGTGCGCCACGACGCGGTCAAACCACCTTTGACACCAGCCTACGACGGACCATTCCACGTCCTTCACCGCACCCCCAAAACTGCCACTCTACTTCAGAACGGCCGTGAAGAGACAGTCAGCTTGGACCGACTCAAGCCGGCGTACCTGGAGACCGCCCTAGAAAGCCTCTCATCT